CCTTCTTGAGTCACAGAGGGCAGTCCCTTGGGGGACTACTGCTGTATCAAGCAGCTATCTCCACACACTCTCCAGGTTTTGGTAACCACTCCCTCCTCTTGCTCCCTCAAGCTTAGGGGTAGAAAATGTTTCCCTCTAGTTGCTAATACTGGAATAGAAGAATCCATTCCTTGTTGGTTTCCCTCAATCAGGCCTGTCTCTGTAAAAAGTCCCTTTATTAAACTTTTTTAGTTTGTGTGTGCCAACATTTTCCTGTGGGGACTAATGTAAGACCATTATTCGATTAGGGATGTACAAGTGATAAAGGCTGGCTGATTTGACACAACGCCAAAATCAGATTTTCATTTTAGAAAGATTATCTCAGTAACCTTATTGAGAATGAATTTGAACGTACTGCCTCAGTTTAGTGTTATCATGATGTCAAGTGGAAGAACAGTCACAAGGGCTGTGGTATAATAAAAGGAGGTCCAAGCATGAGGTCTAGATGAGACATTAAATAGGAAACTGTACACCAGAAGGGTCCAGGGAGAATAGATTCTATCAGTTCAAAAAGGTAGATTCTTTACAGTAAATCTATCATAACAATGGTCTTGAATCTCATTCTGCTGAATGATTTTTTCCATTGATATATTGATTTTCTAATGGTATAGGGCTTAGTTGACAGAACATTTGTATTAGGTAGGTAAAGAATAGCAGAAGTTATAAAACTTAATAGATTGGGTCTTGCACATTCTGCTATAATTTTAAAATGTAATATTCAATATTCTGTTAAGTGTATATAAAGTTTACCTAGATACCATATGGTACAGTATAAAGAATTTAACTTGGACCAAAATCTTCACTTATTAGCTGTGTGGTAACTGGCACTTAAATAAGATAGTTTATATGAAAGGACCCTGCAAACTATAATCCAGATGAAATATAAAATATTATTTGTATGTTATAAGTAAGTTATACTGGTGAGAGTGGCCTGTAAATATCCTTTTAGTTGTTATTTTAAAAACAGAAAGTACATTGGTGGTTGCCTACAACTGAGGAGTTGGGAAATGAGGAGTGACCGCTAATGAGGATGTTAATTTCTTTTGGGGATGATGAGAATTTGCTAAAATCAACTGTGCTAAGAGTGGTGGCATTCTAAAAATATGCTAAAAACTACTGAATGGTAGAATTTAAAAGGGCAAATTGAATAGTATGTGAATGTATTAGTATGAATAGTATTATTTTAGTAATGTCATTATTTACATCACTATGTCCATAATCTATATCATCTGAGATATAAAAGCTTATTTAACAAAACAGCTTATTAAGCTGTTGTATTTTAAAAAGTTGATAAAAGATGATAAAAGTTAAATGATGCAGAAAGAAGACATGTCCCCATGACCTACTAAATCATTACAAATAAAGAAGAAAAATGACAAATTGAAAAGGACTTAAAAGCCCAAACCAAATCAAATCGAATTTTGTTCACAAAATATGTGCTTGTAGGTTTTCAGCACAGAAGTTGTTCCTAACTTTGTAAAACTGCATGTCCTCCATTTGATGTTTCCATTAAAAATTTATCAATTAAACATGCAATAGTCTTAAGAGGATCTAAATTTCAAAGAGAAGAAAACTAAGATTGAGTTTCATTTTCTCCTTACCTATGAGTTAGGATTTTTAATCAGTTATAGTCTCCAAAAATGTGATTTAATACTTCAGACTAACCTGTAAATCGGTATATACTTTTGAAATAACATCAAATAACCTCACTTCATATAATTTTAAGTCTTGCAAACATAGAAATATAGCTTGCTTGATAGATGATCTAATAGGTACTGCCACAAAAAATCATAATTTATATTATTCACATCACTAGTCATTCATACTGTCCAAAAAATAATCTGTTTCATGTGATATATAAAAGCTTATTTAACAAAATTAAAGTATCTCAAAATGCTATACCTTGTAGTTCCCAGACTTTCAAAGGCATCATTTGCTTGTTACTCTCAATCAAGTATTTTTGGAATGCTGTCAGATTATCTCTAAGATCTGAATATATTTCTCTGCATCAAAATATTAAATGACGTTAAATAGCATCACCTATCACAAACCATTATACAAACAGCATATTTTTGAAATAATTCCAAGTAATTAGACATAAAGGAATCATTCATCATTAAGATAATCATAAATTGTGATACAGCTATATTCATAGAACTTAAAAATAATGAGGAAGATATACAGGTCTCTTTTATTAAATATATGAAACAAAACAAAATCTGGAGAAACATATTCTCAATTGTTAGTGTCAACTGTAAGCGATGCAAGGATGAGGGCAGACTTACGGTTTCATATTACATACTTTTTGTTTAACATTTTATAAATTGCAAGCCTTGCTTTTATAATTGAAAATAAAAACTACTTTATAAGGAAAGACAAAAATGCCTCATACAGAGTTTATTTCTGAAAAGTTCCATCTTTGATTCTTATAAAAAACTAAAATAAGATAATTTTACCCATTGTTAAACATCTCTAGGCATCTTTTAGAGAGAGATAAAAAATGATATAGTAGAATGGTATTTTGCTGTACATACAATCTAAACTGTAATCTTCTTTCCTCTATCACTCATGAAATCAAGATATGGTGCCACTTCAGATTTAAATGGAGATATACAATTAAAAAAAAAAACTTTACTGTCAGTACAACTTATACATTATTTTCCTTTTTTTTTTTAATCATACTTTAAGTTCTGGGATACATGTGCAGAACGTGGAGGTTTGTTACATAGGTATACACGTGCCGTGGTGGTTTGCTGCACCCATCGACCCATCAGCTACGTTACGTATTTCTCCTAATGCTATTCCTCCCCTAGCTTCCCACCGCCTGACAGGCCCCGGTGTGTGATGTTCCCCTCCATATGTCCATGTGTTCTCATTGTTCAACTCCCACTTTTAAGTGAGAACATGTGGTGTTTGGTTTTCTGTTCCTATGTTAGTTTGCTGAGAATGATGACTTCTAGCTTCAACCATGTCCCTGCAAAGGACATGAACTTATCCTTTTCTATGGATGCACAGTATTCTATGGTGTATATGTGCCACATTTTCTTTATCCAGTCTATCATTGATGGGCACTTGGGTTGGCTCGAAGTCTTTGCTATTGTGAATAATGCTGCAATCAACATACATGTGCATGTGTTTTTATAGTAAAATGATTTATAATCCTTCGGGTATACACCAGTAATGGGATCACTGGGTCAAATGGTATTTCTGGTTCTAGATCCTTGAGGAATTGCCACACTGTCTTCCACAATGGTTGAACTAATTTACACTCCCACCAACAGTGTAAAAGCGTTCCTATTTCTTCACATCCTCTCCAGCATCTGTTGTTTCCTGACTTTTTAATGATTGCCATTCTAACTGGCATGAGATGGCGTCTCATTGAAAACAAATATTTTCAATATTCAATAGACAAGAAGACTTTGAAAAGTCAAATAAAAAAATATAGAATATACATAAATATGGTAATCTTATAGTTATGAATAAATATATATAGTACAGTGTCAATATCTTACAGGTTTACTACAATGTGGGATCATGTTTTGAAAACAAATCAAAATTGCCAAGATAGTAAAAGTACAACGGCATTTCTTTCTTAAAGAAGTTCACTATGAATTAAACATTTCCTTTTTCAACATTTTAAGTTATACGATTATAAGTTTATAAGAGCTACTATACCAATATTTAATCATCATCTTAGTAACTTTCACTGCTAAAATTCTTTATATAATTTAGGCAACACATGTATTACTCATAAAGTACCTCAAACCAAACGATTTTTGCTTTGAAATGAGCAATCACTGAGTCACTATGGAAGAACTATTTCCTTTTAAAAATGAATAGCCATATGAATTTTAGAATAGATTCTTCTAATTCTGTAAAAATGACATTAGTAGTTTGACAGGAACAGCATTGAATCTGTAGATTGGCAGTATGGCCATTTTAACAACATTCATTCTTCCAATCCACGAGCATGGAATGTTTTTCCATTTGTTTGTATCATCTATGATTTCTTTCAGCAGTGTTTTGTAGTTCTCCCTGTGGAGATGGTTCACCTCCTTGGTTAGATGTATTCTATATACTTTGTGCGTGTGTGTGGCTATTGTAAATGGGATTGCCTGCTTGATTTGGCTCTCACCTTGAACATTATTGGCTTTTACTAATGCTACTGATTTTTGTACACTGATTTTGTATCCTGAAACTTACAGAAGTTGTTTATCAGTTCTAGGAGCCTTATGGTAGTCTTTAGGGTTTCCTAGGCAAAAGACATGAACAGACACTTCCCACAAGAAAACATAGAAGCAGCCAAGAAACATGAAAAAATGCTCAACATCACTAATCAGAGAAATGTAAGTCAAAACCACAATGAGATACCCTCTCAAACCAGTCAGAATGGCTATTATCAAAAAGTCAAAAAGTAACAGATGCTGGCAAGGCTGAAGAGAAAAGGGAATGCTTATACACTGTTGGTGGGAATGTAAATTAGATCAGCCACTGTGAAAAGCAGTTTGGAGATTTCTCAAAGAATTTCAAACTACCACTCAACCCAGTAATCTCATTACTGGGTATGCACCCAAAGGAAAATAAATCATTCTGACGAAAAGACACATGCACTCCTATGTTCATCATAGCACTTACTCACAATAACAAAGACATGGAATCAACCCAGGTGCCATCAATGGCAAATTGGATAAAGACAATGTGATACATATACCACCATGGAAAATCCTGCCCTTTGCAGCAACATGAATGCAGCTGTAGGCCATTATCCTAAGTGAATTAACACAGGAACAGAAAAACAAATACCCAATGTTCTCACTTATAAGTGAGAACTAAGCATTGGGTATACATGGACATAAAGATGGGAATAATAGACACTGGGGACTATTAGAGCGGGGAGATGGCAAGGGCATAGTACCTGTTGGGTACTATGCTCACTACCTGGGTGATGGGATCATTCATAACCCTAACCTCAGCATCACATAACATATCCATGTAACAAACTTGCACGTGTACGCCTTAAGTCTAAAATAGAAGTTGAAATAAAATAAAATACAAATAAAAATAGCCCAGTGTTCCACGTGATCTTTTGGAGAAAATGCAATTTAATCCCATAAAAAGTTATATTCAAAAGAGAAAAGAACTATAAATTCCAAGATGTTGAGATAGCTGAAAATGGGATAAAAATGTATTGTTTGTTGCTAAATAAATATCTTACTTAGAATAAACCCATTTTATAAGACATATTAACATTTTAAGGCCACTAGTATACTGCTTGGCCAACATACTTTAAAAATGTAACACAGTTATCCATATAAATTAGCATAGTCTCCAAAAATCTTACCCTTACTGTATATAGTTATCTACTCATCACCAGGAGAACCAACCTGAAAGTCCTTCATAAATGACTGTAATACTAAACAAGAACTAAAGGTATTAATAAAAATATGTCTTTAATTAATTTTGCCTGGATAAAGAAATCATAAACTTTCACTTGTAAATAAGGGAAAATGTACATGAAATTACAGCCATCCCCATTCACAAGTATTCAGAGAGCACTCACCATCCTATTCCTTGTCTTCAATCAGCGTGGCAGGAAAAAAAAGGGGGGGGTATAACTTTAATTTTTGAAAGGTTACTTACATGTGTATATGAAATGGTAATCTGTATTACAGAAATTTCAACTAATAAATGTTTTCTCTTCTTTTGGGCTATATATTTGTGCAAGCTAAAGACCCAATATTATCAATGATTTTCATAACCCATTAGATCAGTAAAGTTCTAGATTCTATAAAGTTTTTAGTTTTCTGTCAGAACTTTATCAACTCCTGTTTCTCTAAGCACACTAAGTCAAATGTATCATATGAAAAGTGATTTTAAATATCTCACACTTTATGAATGTCAGATGTATTAAAACTGCCTTAAAAATAAAGCAATAAAGAGAATTATTCACCACAGCTTGCCAAGTTAATTTATTAAAAAACAGTAAAAATAACACTGAGTTTAAAAATAGTATATATTAGCTAACATTATTACTACAATATTTATTTTAAAAAATAATGATTTACTTAATTTTTTTCCTCAAAAGAAATTCAATTTAGGCAGTATTTTTTTCTTGGCAGCATTTTGTGAAACTATTTTAACAAATAATAACTTTATAATTTTCATTTATTTTATTCATGTTTAACACATTAATGTTTATTATATGCCATGAATTGTTAAAACTACTTTATTACTAAATTACATTATTTATTCTCTCCAAATTTAGAAACTTCCTAAATAAGTATGTACTATACCAATTATTTACTCAACTTTCATGGCAGCTGTGTTAGAATAAAGAAAATTACTACTTTCAAATATGGGAAATCATAATTTGGATGCTGATAGCACCATATAGTGTTAAATGAAGAACACGATCAAAAAATGCTACAAGGCTAATAAATATTTAACAATTTGTTTGTTGCCTTATGTTTGTTGTTTCATGTCTTTGAGGTTTAGCCATTCTATAAAATGAACTTTATTTATGGGACAAATAACTTACTCTGGGTAAAAGGAGAAAAACATGCATATTTAACAGTGACCAACCATAAGTATCAAAAGTCTTAAATTTCGAATTTTCAAGTTATCCCACAGACACTACCAGAGTTTCAGAAATAAAATCCCACTCTCAATGTAAACATAACAGTTTCATCTAATGAAAAAATTTCCATTTTTAAGATTAATATGAAAATAAACTTCAACAGTAAGTAATTCAATATATGGCAAAGGTTTTAGAATTTTTTATAGAGCTGTTATAATTAGTAAAAAGATATAAACACAGCAAGAACAAATAAGCACAAGTCAAGAACAAGCAATTTTCCCAAGAAGAAATTCCAAAGCCAATAAACATGAAAAAAAGTTAATCCTTGCAGTAATAAACTGCCAATAGTTGACTTTCTTGGAGATGAATTATAAAACTGGTTCAGCCCAGTAAATTATATGCACCTTTTTAAAAAAAAAAAAAAAAGAAACACCATTTCACTTCTTAAACTGAAAAAGATTTTTAAAAATAGTATGATTGGTTATTAAAGTTCTGGGAAATGAACACATTTCACATCCTCGGGTAAGTGTACATGTTAGTACAATTTTATGAGGGTAGTTTACATGTATGAATCAAAAATTTCAAGTACATATAATTTATCAACTATTTTCCTGAAATTTGTGCTAAAGAAAATCTGCAATGCACACAAACTGGTACACAAAAAAAATTAAATGAAAAAGTAGGGAAATAATTTAAAGTCCTGTTCTATGGGACTGTTTCAATAAATGAACTATCCACAAGATGTGAAAAAAACAGCTATATGCTATAGTTCTACTGTGCAAAACAATATGCTGTGTATGCGTTTGTTGCTATAAAAATATTCAGACTGGAAAAACATACTGTACATCAAAACATTATGAGTTATCTCTTTAGCTGTGAAATTAGTCATTATTTTTAAATGTGCTTTTTTGCTTTCCGTAGCTTTTTGACATTAGCCATGTGTTACTTCTGTAATAAATAAAAACAATTGTGTGTGTGTGTGTGTGTGTGTTTGTACTTTCTACATAAAAGAAAGGTGAAACATATGGCAAAACAGTATATCAAATTAATTCCTTAAAAACAAATGGGTATAATACCAATTTAATTTCCATTCAGACTTACTTTAGTTTCCCAAAGAGAAATCCTTGAACTTCATTTGCTTCAGTCTCATCCTCTACAGTAGTATTAGTCACAGCTACATTTTGGAAACAAAACCAAAATAAAACAAAAATATTTTCAGACTGGGAAAAGAACATGTAATGAAAAATTAGAAGAACTTGGCCTGGTGTGGCAGCTCACACCTGTAATCCCAGCACTCTGGGAGGCCGAGGTGGGCAAATCATTTCAGGTTACGAGTTCGAGGCCAGCCTGACCAACATGGTGAAACCTTGTCTCTACTAAAAATACAAAAATTAGCCAGGTGTGATGGCATGCACCTGCAGTCCCAACTACCTGGGAGACAGGAGAATGGCTTGAGCCCGGGAGGTGGAGGTTGCAGTGGACCGAGATCACATCACTGCACTCCAGTCTGGGTGAGAGTAAGACTCTGTCTCTTTAAAAAAAACAAAAACAAAAACTCACAATGAAATGAAATTCTATTTGTTTTACCTTGTTTTGCCTTCATGAACCAGATTAATACATATATATGCATATGTACAGGCTAACATTCCTGAGTGTGAGCTGTCTTTTTGAACATGCTTGATTAAATACTTAGCAACTATAATAAAGTGCTTTATAGATTAGTTAATAGTCAAGTTCTATTTTATAATCAGAAATAAGCCAAAAGGCCTGTAACAAATGCTGGGTTTAGCTTTTAAGTGAGGCAGGAGGTCCAAACTCTAAGTTTAAATATAAGTTCCTGCATATTTCCAACACCTTTAATCAAGGAATATTTAGAAAGACACCAAAACTCATGGACTCAAAGAATAAAGATATAATATTTTGTAGTCATTTCCCTTTTCTCTTACATACCAAATAATTATACTGTACAGTCTGGTTGGTGGAATATGTGACAGGTACTTTAGGATTACAAGGACTGTGACCTCTTACAGTGTGTGGGGTGGCTCTCTATCAGAGTACCCTGGGTACTTTCATCTAGTCATCCTTTTCCTCTTGTTTGTTCATTCATTCATTGGGCAAACATTTATTGACTGCTATGAGGTGTCTATGACAGGATAGACACCAAGAACAACAGACACCAAGAACAACAGACACACAAAAGATACAGACCATGAACTTTTCTAAAAGAAGGCAAAGAAAGATATGGGATATAGAAAAAAGAAGCGCATTCTCTAATAGAGCGGCAAGATAGGCAGCCGTCTCAGAGGCACGGACTGATATATTTGAATCTTAAAAGATACGAAGCCTGGCCGGGTGTGGTGGCTCATGCCTGTAATCCCAGCACTTTGAGAGGCTGAGGTGGGTGAATCACAAGGTCAGGAGTTAAAGACCAGCCTGGCCAACATGGTGAAACCCCGTCTCTATTAAAAATACAAAAATTAGCCAGGTGTGGTGGCAGGTGCCTGTAATCCCAGGTACTCGGGAGGCTGAGACAAGAGAATTGATTCAATCCAGGAGGCAGAGGTTGCAGTGAGCTGAGATTGCACCACTGCACTCCAGCCTGGGCGGCAGAGCAATGATTCCATCTTATGGAAAAAAAAAGAAAAAGATGTGAAGTCTTTAGAGGAAATGAAAGAAGCGAAGACAGTGGTAGGCAGAAGGAATAGCATATGCTAAGGGATGAATGCAGGAGAGGTCGTAAAGACTTCCCATGGAGCCCATGCATAAAAACATCCAGGGAACAGAAAATTATTCTAAATAGTAAGTAGTTTAGTGTCTCAGGCAAGAGGACACAAATTGAGAGAGGGCTGAAGGACAGTAAAAAGGCAGAAAGCAATCAGACTGTGAAAAGCTTTGTTTGCTATGTTCTGAATTTTTGAGAGAGGTTATAGGGAGCCACCAAAGGATTTAACCAGTGGAATCACAGATTTTCAACATCAAAAGTTCATTTGGAAAGTACCGTGGAGATCAGATTGATTAATCTATTTTGAGGGGTGCTGAGATTGAGGGCACTGAAGACCAAAGATCAGAGAGATGGCTAGTTAAAGGTCTGACACATGTATACAAAGAGAAAAAAAGAGAACTGCTCTAAGGAGTGGCAACTAGAATTGACAAAGACATATTCCAAGTGTGTGTAAAAGGTTGATGACAGAATGCAGTACATAATAATACAGATGATACACATGTGACTTTTTAAAGAAAATTCTATAAGTGCAAGAATAACTAAAAATGCCTTAAATTACTATGATGATTACAAGAGAGTAAATTATAAAGCATTGTAAAACTATACACAAGCTATACAGAAATACATAAAATCAGAGTTATTTTTACTACACTTTTTCAGTAACTCTTTAACCAAAAATATTTAAATTACAGTAATATAGATCTTTATTTGAAGCACATTCAGTAGGAGGAGCCAGAGAGAAGTCTGTGATCAAGGCAGGGCCTCTCTATGAAAAAATAAAGTTGAAGCAGGAGTCTCATCTGAGTGCATATAAAAGAATAAACGTAAAACTCTTAACCAAGAATCAGGCATAAATAAATCTGACATGAACCAGGTAATAAAAGACTTCCATAAGTGTTCCGAGAACTCGTTTAGTTTATTGAAGTCTCCAGAGTCTCTTCATCTAGAGTATGCATTTAGTTCACAGAATACAGATAGATACTGGCTGGTAGATCACAAATCTAATGAATCTACCTCATCTAAACAATTCATAGGCCTCTCTCATCCTGCTTCAGGAAAGAAAAAACAAACTGCCATCCTAATTTCATTACAAATAAACATTTCAGACAAAACTTCCTTACATGGGCGAGACCCAAATGCCTATGCCACTCACCTCTAGCAATAATCAGCCTTATCTACTGCCACAGTGTACCTTACATATACTATCAATTGTTATATGGTGCTGAAATGGTTGGGAACCCATCGGGTATAAGCAAAATAACATACAATTTCATATTTTAAAAGAAATTTTGATAACCAATAATATTAAATACATTTCTTTCAGCTTAAAATTCCAAATTTTAATGAAGAACATGTCCACCCCATCTCTAGCCTCAAATGAACATATGTAGGATTATACTCATTAAATTTTTAAAAAACTAAAGTATGTAAAAGCCTCCAACTTTTCATTCTACTCAAGTATGAGATAGAGAACTTACTTGTAACTTGGGTATCATCCAATGCTGTGTATTCTGTACTCTTAATTGCTAGCTCCACACCATACCCAGATAAGTACATTTTCCGTGAGCTTGGTTTCTGTTCAAACACATTTATTTTATAAAAAGAGAAAGCAGTTAGTCAAACATCTTGTTTTAAAGTCAGTACCATGATGTATTTGGACATAAGGGTAAATTACTAATATTGAAGGTTTCTAATCACTGTGAAAAATTTGGTGGTTGTTTACACTGTCTCTAGTCTATCAAGGAACTAGAATTTGGTTAACGACTACTCTGTAAAAACTCTGTCATGACTACTGGTTCAATTACTTTTTAATTTTTACAATTAAAATAAAAAGTATCTGATCTTTTTCTGTTATACCATGTCTTCAATGAGTTAATTAACAGAGGACCAATTACAGACAAGTTTCAATAAAACTGTTCTCCTTTCTGGGGACCCCCAAAAGATTTGCTAAACTGAAAATGCTCTTCACTTGCTGGTTGTCTAGATGTAGGACAACTAGAGTGCTGCCAAAAGCAAATACTGGGAAGTAGTGGCAAAGGAGACAAAAAAAAGTTAGCGTCGTGAAATACTGGATTAAAGTTTTCTTTCTTTTTCAATGATTAAAATATACCAAATGCCACAAACTAATATCTGCTCTTGCAATAAGGGGTTACAGTTCACTAAAACGGAGTTGTCTGAAATGTTTATGATCAGAATTTTAGTACCTTTAATTTTATTATTTCTAGAGGGCAAATATTAAATGTACGCCTAGAGATTACCTCATCAGGCAAGAGAAGTCACCATATTTTATTCAAAAGGAAGTAACCTGGATGAATACACAGAATAGTTTTAAAGTTGTTCCAGCTTCCAGACTGAAATTCTTGTTGGCGGTACTGCAACCATTATCATTTGGCGTATCTCAAGGGGTTAGAAAACCACTTTAACCTAGAGCTCAGCAAACTCCCTGGAAGATGCCATGTGTCTTTGCTTAATTCAGGTTTGCACAGGGACAGTTTTGCATGATAGAGGAAAAGGTAGAGATTGGAGGGAAGGAGAACTTTAGTAATGCGTTATTCTTTGTATTCTCTTCTTTCCTCCCGAAACTTTCTACCAAGCCTTAATGATACGCATATGGCAGAGTGACTGTTCTTTGGCCTGTTCTATTTGCAAGTAAGAATATGTAAAAGTTAGCTTCAGATATTCAGACAAGTACTTAACATTGCTGCACACACTAAAATTTAATTTGCTAATTTGTCAGGCCCACATTATATGAAAGATAGCATGTAGAAATTGGGTTATTTATAATTACAGTAATCTGACAAAGTTGAAAATTTGTTTAGCTTTTTCAGTTTCATAACAGCTCAATTTAAAACTATATTTTGAATTTCTAGTCAAAAGACCAATCAGTTGGTGGCTAAGTGAATCGAAACTATGAGGCCACATATCTTGTTACAGTTCATAAAAGAAATGCAATTTCATACAGTGAATTTCCATTATTAGTTCTGGAAAGTTACTAGCTCCTCAGTAATAAAAATGTTTCCTAAATTCATACTTACTTTCCTCATTTGAAAATGTGTTGATATAAAATTTGAATTGTAGTTTTGTAGTTTAGTAAGTTTGGATTTGCAAACCAAACTACCAATTCAACAGGTTAAAAAAAATCTTTGTTTTTCTATTTGTTTTTTCCCCCACAAAAAGGCATATGTTAAAAATGTAGCATAAATATGTCTATTTTTATTAGAATTACATGTTCACTAGATTTACATTATAGCTATTTTGAACATAAAAGATGTCATTCATTAAATATAAGGCTATAATTTGATAGTTAATATGATTTCACAGAAGCATACTTAATGGTCACATTCTCTAAAGAATAACTTGAGATAGATTCTCAACAGATGGGCATAGCTCCCCAGGAGCACGTTAGAATCACTTGGGAGAACATTTAAAAAAGACAAACATAGACAATTAACAACAACAAGGGCTTAAATTGCACAGGTTTACTTATACATAGATTTCCTCCCACCTTGCCACCTGAAACAGCAAGTCCAGCCTCTCCTCTTCCATTTCCTCCTCAGCCTACTCAACATGACTATGAGGATAAAGACCTTTATGATGATCCACTTCTATTTAATGAAAAATATATTTTCTCTTCCTTATGACTTTCTTAATAACATTACTTATCTAGCTTACTCCGTTGTAAGAAATACAGAATATAATACATGTGACATGAAAAATATGTGTTAATTGACTGTTTATCAGTAAGGCATCCAGTCAACAGTAGGCTATTAGTACTTAAGTTTTAGTGGAGTCCAAAGTTATACATATATTTTTTAACAACATGAGGGGGCAGTATCTCTAACTCACACAAGCTTAAGGGTAAACTGTACTTGTATCTCCCACTCCCACTCCTATTCTCATTTGCCTGTCATCTCTGCCTTACCTGATAGAGAATCATAGCCTTAAGGTGCTACTGTTATTGATGGGAATGTATCCATCCTTCTAGCAAACTCAGTTGGGAAAAATTGAGAATTATTGGTACAAGATAATTAGACAATGTAAAATGTTTTGAGTGCACACTTTAGACCCATGACTCTCTATCCTCTTCTTCTATATTTGTTTTTCTGAAAACACTTTCTTCACTAACATAAATCTGTTTTACATCTCTTGCCGCAAAAATTGAAGTTTTCTGAGAAAAAGGAATGTTTCTCTCTTATTCACTGCTACATGAACCAATGCCTGGCACAGAGGCATCCAAATATTTATGAAATTAATGACTTAAATACGTAATCATTTACGAATTGTACACACACCCACACTTTATATCTCACTTTACACAATCTTTATGTAGATTATGCAAATATCTATATGCCAACACACTCAAGAATATTGAAGATTTTCCACTTCTACTAAATAGCAATAACTCACTCAAAATTATACAATGAACAATTAAAATTGAGAATGTGAAGAACATTGAGGGGAAAAAAATACATTTTATATGATGTTATTGTAGGCCAAGTCCCCGAAAGATCTTGGCAACCCAGCTCTTCCTCGCTTTCTCACTTGTAAATCTCAGAATAACTGTAGAATGATGTGCTGGAAATGCAAGAAATATGAAGGAATTGCCAGTAAGGCCAAGATCTGTTCCTATTGCTCCTAGAACAGGATGTCTTGCAATGCTTCAGCACAGCTCATCAAGTTGCTCCTAGGTATAAAACCCAGGGCAGAGCAGGCTTTCAGAGTTCCTCAGCTGTGGTGCAACATGAAGGATGTGCACGTGAGATTCCATCCTCCTGGGCAGCTATCCTAAGCTTTGGGGGATGAGCTTGCCATGAATCCTTAGGTGTCTACTGTCACTTGCTGCGTATCTGTGGGCAATAAAATTGCTTCCCTAAACTTGTTGTGTGAGTGTTCTGTCTCACCACACTCATGCCAGTGGATTGATACTGGTACACAGTATTGGCAAGGTGTTTTACAGTCCTCCCATGGGATTAATACCAGTGCAAAGTGAACTTGCATCACAAATTATCAAATATATAAAACAAAATTAAGATACTGAAATAAGCTACTTATCTTCTATCACTAGAACTAAGCATGGTGCCCAACTTATAGGCATTTGTGGAAGATTATTAAAAAGGCCACAAGTGAATAACTCCTTCCCATGTCCAGACTCATTTGCAATGTGACCTTGCCACTTCTCACCAGGAAACTGAGTCTATTTTTCCATTCTTTTGAATCTGGCTAGCCTTGTGACTTGCTTAGACTAATATAACGTGGCAGAAGTATCATCGTATGAGTTCTTGGGCATAGGGCTTAAGAGATATTGCAAGTTCTACTCTTTTCTTTCTGGAACCCTAAGCCATTATGATACGAAGAATCATAGTCTAACTCTTGGAAGATGAAAGGCCATGTAGAAAAGAACCAAGAAACTCCAGTTATCAGCCTGAACTGCTATACAGGTCTGTCAGAATAACTCGAATCCTCAAGCTCTAATCTAGTACTGAATGACCCCCACAGTATGAACAATACCAGCAGAAAAAGTGCCCCAACTGTCAACCTACAGAATAAAGAGAAATGGTAAGTCAATACTGCCTTAAGCCACTAAATTTTGAGAAGATTTGTTACAAAGCAGTGCAGACACAGACATAGCATCTAATAAATGTGCATGCAGGAAAGAAAGAAGGAAGAGATGACAGATTCCCCTAACAAATTTCTAATTCAAAGAATACCTAGTTTCTTCAAAAATAGTAGTAACTTAGAGTTTTTCATCCTCTGCAGTCATATATTACTGCTTTGAGAAGTTATAAGGTAGCTTCAATCAGCTCTAAGAAACTTAAATTTTGGATTCCCCATGTAAGCAGCAAAGCTATGGAATCAAAGCAACTCTAGGAAAAAAAATTTTTTTTTAATTTTTTATTTTTAATTATTATGGATACAGAAAAGCTGCATATATTTATGGGGTATATGTTATAATTTGATACAAACATACAAAATGTAATGATCAAATCAGGGTATTTGGGATATCTATCACCTCAAACATTTTATCATTTATTTGTGTTAGGAACATTCCATTGAAGTCATGGAGACAGAGACTAGAATGATGGTTACCAGAAGACGGAAAAAGTAGTGGAGATGTGGGGATTCAGAGGGGATGGCTAATAGGTATAAAAATATAGTTAGGAAGAATAACATCTAGTGTTTAGCAGCACAATCGAGAGACTATAGTTAATAATTTATTGTATATTTCAAAATAAGGAAAAATAATTTTATAAGCTTTACATCCTTATTAAGAGCCACCTAGTTATGACCTCCTCTCTCTTGGAACTAAAATGTCTCATCTTTCTCCTTCTTCAGTGGACAGATATCAGAGGGTCTCAGAAGCATATGCTATATATTCCCAACCAATATGCCAGATCTAATGAAGCAAGATCTCTAGGAGTGAGAACACTTTATTATTTAAAAGAACACTCCAATTGGTGTTGGGGTAGCGAATGAGACTGACAACGGAAAACAAAATAACCTTCAACTTTATTTTTAAAGTTTTATTAATTAAAAAATAAACTTGAAGAAAAGATAAAATGTTAGCTGCCAATTCT